TTTTTTTAGTAAACATGAAGCCTTGAGCAAACATACATATCAATGTAATTTTTCCATTATTAGCGAAAAAGTACTCAGCTGAATAAACGTAATTTTACATAACACGTCACATTTCCCTACAGAAACTATCGATTCAACCTTTTGTTTTATGAGATGAATTTTCCTATTTTTTTCCAAGCTATTTCATATCTACTTTGTTTATATTAGACTCGACGTAATGTTGCACAAAAATTTTCTCAACTGTACAGATACAAACCTTGGTAGCCGAGTCGACATGTGCACCACGTTTAAGTAGCTCACGTACGACCTCGCTATGACCCTCTTTTGATGCTAAATGTAATGCGTTCAGTCCATTCGCATTACAGGTATTGATGTCGGTCCCGCCGCGCAACAGTTCCAACACTTTATCAAGATTTCCGGCACGAGCAGCACGTAGGAAACTAGCACTTGCGCTGCCCTCGCCCTGCTGAAATGAAAACCTTTAGTTCTGCGGTAAGAGAAATCCAGAAATAAAATGAGGTTTTTCAAATTATTTCAAAGTAAAAATGAGCAAGAAAGCTTCAAAGTTTTTTTATAATCACTTAATTCATGGAAAATTCATGAATGAACCTAATGTTTTACGAAACCTTTATAAATCAAAATGCAAAAAACCATGTAAATCGAAGTTAAGTCGAGAAAAAGGCCCAGCGATTCTATGCTCTAAAAAAAACATCTTTCTCATCTATTTATGCATTTTGGAAATGTATCCACCAAACATGGATAATGGTAAGGGTAAAAGAAAAAATTGCAAGTCGTCGCAAAGCATTTCCTGTTCATTTTTTCTTCCACAAAGCACTCTATATGAACACTTTTAGTACGGTAATCCCCGAGTGCATGGAAAAGAGAAAGAGTTCCAATGATTCATTGTCTCTTGATTAAGCAGTGTTTTTTTTTTTGCCAGGAATTGGTGATTTATTGAGACATTTTTTTACTTTCAAAAAAGTGTAATCCTCGAATATAGCGCTAAGATGTAAAAGGCAAGGTAGCTCAAAAGTAATTCTCAGCGACAATGCTAGGCGTTACAATATAAACTATTGTATTTTAAACACAGCACTGCAGTTGAT